TGGATCTCTTAAAATCTCACTGTTGGGTTTGTAAGGCCATGTTACTCCTAAATTTCTATCTTGTTCAAAGAGAAGATATAAAACAAAGTTCTAAGCTAATCGACCTTAGTGTTCTCCTTTTTTAAAAAGAATCGATAAAGAATCGAATCGTTAAACAGAATCAAAAATGGAATCGGAATCGTGAAAATCTTATCAATACCCATCCCTCCTCATATCCATACGTTTTGGGGCAGTAATTCTGCCTGTGTGCACCACCGCAGTTTGAACTCAAACAAACAAGATGTGACTGAAGTTTAGACTTTAGTTTTAATTCAGGGAGTTTAGCAAGACATTTTCATAGGCTCTAAAGTAACATTGACAAATTTTCTCATCTATGAGAGAGACTGCAAACACTTCAGGAATGACCAAATCAACAATTTGGTCCATTGTTAAAAAGGAAGGCTCTGGTAGACTTGACTAGATCCCCTAAAAAGCAGGTTGTTGTGCGCCAAATCACAACAACGGTCGTCTCAAGGCGCTTTATATTGTAAGGTAGACCCTACAATAATACATACAGAAAAAAAGCCCAACAATCACATGACTCCCTATAAGCAGCACTTTGGCGATAGCGGGAAGGAAAAACTCCCTTTGAGCCAAAAGCTCAGACTCCTCTCCGTTTCTAACACTTTTCCCACATTGCTTTTGTCCCCTGTATTAGTGCTTTTAACAGCAGTTTGGAGTAAGGCCTATAGTTGCTGCTGTTAATTAGCCTCAGCCTTCTACACTCAGCCACTTTATTGGGTGCACCTTGTTAACACTGGGCCCTCTTCGCCCTGAGAACTGCTTTCATTGTTCCACAGATCCACCACGGTGCAGGAAACCTTTCTCAGAGATTTGGCTGGAGCCATCTTGTCTCTCATTCCACTACATCCCAAAGATGCTCTATTGGACTGAGGTCTGCTAACTGTGGTGAGTAAGAAACCAGTTTAAATGACGCGAGCTTTGGAATATGGTGCATTATCTTGCTGGAAACATCAGAAGATGGGTCACAAACAGATGGACATGGTAGATTTTGTCATTTTGCATCATTGCAAGCGTGAACATTGAAAGACATTAACCGCTGACCAAACTGTGACCCTAACTTGTTGGTGGAAGTTGCAGCAGAAAT